AGTTGACAGGAACAGAGTTGACGATAACAGGGTTGACAATAACAAAGTCGACCGTAACATAGTTGACCATAACCCGAGATGACTATAACAGAGTTGACAGTAACCAAGTTGACAAAAACAGTATTGATAGTAACAGAGTTGACAGTAACCAAATTGACAGTAAAAGAATTGACAATAACAGGGTTGACGACAACAGTTGACAGTAGCAGAGTTGACACTAGCATAGTTGACTATATCAGAGTTGATGATAACCATACCTGTCAACATTGGGATGTGAAAATAAGGGATATGCCCACACAACATGGGATTCCTTCAACCCGCCCTTTAAAAAATCCCCAAATTACTAAATATGCTCATTTGGAGCTGTTTTGTTGTAAATAAACAATTAAATGGTCAGAAATAGGTTTTATTATTATTTACAAAAAAAATAAATAAATATATACATTAGCAGCAAATACATGAGCAAACAGTTCAGCTTATTAAAATTAATAGCTAATATAATGAAATAGAATCAAGCTATCAAATCTCATTAGCCGTTTCTTTGCTTTATAACTGACACATTCTGATTAATGAGCAACGAATGAATGATTTAATTAGATTTTTTTTCGTATGATTACATTAAATAACAGGTGTCACAAAACTGCACACATCCAACGTTATAATGAAAGCATTCGTCTGCTTTCCTAACTGTTCATGCTCATTTAGGACGAAATTACTTGTGTTTGAAAAAAACCCCACCAAGATCAACATCTTTGGATATTATTATTATTAATTACTGTATGTGTATATCTGTTTAAATACGCACCCAAAACCCAGACTTTTGCTCCGCTTCAAATTGCGTGTACTGAATCCGTTTGGGAAACAGCATCTATTTATCATTGTGGAGCGCGTTTTGAGGATTGCATATGAAAGGGCAAAGCCACCTGTAATGAAAAGTAAGGGAATCACGGCTTTTTGATTATTTCAAAGTGTTTTCCTGCCTAAACAAAACGAAAGCGCAGAACAGACTCGCATTTAAGAGCAAGGGGCAGCCCCTGGTAAATATCTTTAATGTTTATTTGCCACCCTTCAGAGAAAGACTGAAAATACGGAAGAAATACGGGAAAATCCCTTTACGAGATGATAGCAAGATAGAACTGTAAAATACGGGAGAATCCCGGGAAAATTGGGAGGGTTGACAGGTATGCAATCACAGAGTTGACGATAACAGAGTTGATGAAAATAGGGTTGATGATAACAGGGTTGACAGTAACAGAGTTGACTATAAAAGGGTTGACGATAACAGAGTTGACGATAACAGAGTTGACGATAACAGAGTTGACGATAACAGAGTTGACTATAATAGGGTTGATGATAAAAGAGTTGACGATAACAGAGTTGACAGTAACAGAGTTGACAATAACAGAGTTGACGATAACAGAGTTGACTATAATAGGGTTGATGATAACAGAGTTGACGATAACAGAGTTGACAGTAACAGAGTTGACGATAACAGAGTTGACGATAACAGAGTTGACTATAATAGGGTTGATGATAACAGAGTTGACGATAACAGAGTTGACAGTAACAGAGTTGACGATAACAGAGTTGACGATAACAGAGTTGACTATAATAGGGTTGATGATAACAGAGTTGACGATAACAGAGTTGACAGTAACAGAGTTGACGATAATAGGGTTGACGATAACAGAGTTGACTATAATAGGGTTGATGATAACAGAGTTGACGATAACAGAGTTGACAGTAACAGAGTTGACGATAACAGAGTTGACGATAACAGAGTTGACTATAATAGGGTTGATGATAACAGAGTTGACGATAACAGAGTTGACAGTAACAGAGTTGACGATAATAGGGTTGACGATAATAGGGTTGACAGTAACAGAGTTGACGATAACAGAGTTGACAGTAACAGAGTTGATGATAACAGGGTTGACGATAACATAGTTGACTGTAACAGAGTTGACGATAATAGGGTTGACACTAACAGAGTTGACGATAACAGAGTTGACGATAATAGGGTTGACGATAATAGGGTTGACACTAACAGAGTTGACAGTAACAGAGTTGACGATAACAGAGTTGACGATAACAGAGTTGACTATAATAGGGTTGATGATAACAGAGTTGACGATAACAGAGTTGACAGTAACAGAGTTGACGATAACAGAGTTGAAGATAATAGGGTTGACGATAATAGGGTTGACACTAACAGAGTTGACGATAACAGAGTTGACAGTAACAGAGTTGACGATAACAGAGTTGACGATAATAGGGTTGACGATAATAGGGTTGACAGTAACAGAGTTGACGATAACAGAGTTGACAGTAACAGAGTTGACGATAACAGAGTTGACGATAATAGGGTTGACGATAATAGGGTTGAGAGTAACAGAGTTCACGATAATAGGGTTGACACTAACATAGTTTACTATATCAGAGTTGACGATAACAGAGTTGATAGTAACAGAGTTGATAGTAACAGAGTTGACGGTAACAAAGTTGATGATTACAGAGTTGACACTAACAGAGCTGAAACCAACATGGTTGACACTAAAAGAGTTGACATCAACAATATTGACAATAACAAATATGACAATTACAGAATTGACACTAACAGAGATGACAGTATCAGAGTTGATGGTAAAAAAGTTGATGGTAACAGTTGATAACAGAGCTGATAATAACAGAGTTGAAGGTAACGGAGCTGACAGTAACAGTTGAGAGTAACAGAATTGACGATCACAGAGTTGGCACTAACAGAGTTGGCAATAAGAGAGTTGATGTTAACAGTTGACGTTAACAGTTAATGAAAATATGTATAGTCGTAGTCTAAGCTTTAACCCAAATACACATAGATCATTGTTTTTTTAGAGATAACTAAATATCATTTGTGTGTTTAATCAAAACTGATTCGTTAAAGTTTTGTTTTTGAAAAATAATTTAACCTTTATCATGGATCTAAAATTACTTTTGTCAATTTAATTTATTACTGTCACCAGAATAAAACATCTTGATTCAGAAGTGAAATCCTTTATAATTTCACAATGTCTTTTACGTATCGTTATACAGTGATTAAACTAAAACTTGTCGAAAAAGATCAGGAATATAAATGGTAAGTCTTTCACTTTATCGTCTTTTCACTGTTTTTCTGATATCTGCGTCTGTCTGGAGATGAAGAACATACAGGAGATGCTGTGTGTGAGTTTGGGTTAGTTGTTATTGTGTTTTTTAAGCAGGATTTAAGCACATGATTTTGATATAAATAATAAATAAGTGCTGAAATCAGGTTCAGTCAAGCATGAGATGATAATCGTCTCCAGACGCGTGCAGAGAGAAAGATGGATATGCTGGAAACAATGCAGAGGAAAAAAGAAAAGGTCTCATTCGGTGAAATATGTCCGTCTTAATATGTATGTACACTCAAAAAATACTTTTGAAATACTTATGAGTTCAACTCATAGTTTTTGGAAACAACTTAATTGTTTTAGGTTCAATACACATCAATTTGTAAAAAATGATTAAGTAAACTTAATCGATTTGTGTTGGGACAAGCATTGTGTGGAACCCATTAATGTATATATCCGAAAATTATACATGAAGACAGGATACAAATGATAAGGCTGTAGTTTATATTAGGCTATATGCTATCATGTGTAATTTGTGCTGATTTTGAACATTTGTATGTCAAATATTCATGTAAATAAAGCGCATTTAAGTGTCATTATGACCGACAGTCTATGGGTGTGACAAGCGGAGCTGTTATCAGTCTCACACACACACACACACACACACACACACACACTCGAGTGAAGTTTTACAGAAAGTAACATTTGCACTGCGCATCATTTCATGGGGTGATTAGTGTAGATCTCGACACTAGATGTGCTCTAGATGACTCTGTGCTAATATAAAATACATGACTGTTTACTGTGTTTACAGATGAGTGCGCGCGTTTGTATTCGCGTGTTTTGCGCATGCGCGAAAACTGTCAGCCTCACCGCACGGACACAAGGAATGTATTTTTATTCACCTCACTCGATCATGATTGAAATTAAGGTAGTGTATTGTTATTAATTATACGCTAAATAATCATATGTAGTTTCTAGTTATATAGTTTATATAATAAATAGGATATAATATAATTTCGTTTCGTAATTCAGTTGTTTTTGTTTTACAGTTGATTTGACATACTACTGAAACTATTTGTAAAATAGCTGATAAAGGTAAGTTTGTTTATTAATATGCTGTTGTCTAGTTAGTTTTATACTTCAATAAATTGTAATGCATTAAGTTTGAATTGAAGAAAAGCTTGTTATCTTTATGATGCAGCTGCTCAAACCCGTGCAGCTAGTCGTTTTCTGGGTTTAAGCTAAGTTAACTAATGTTTGTTTGTTTGTTTGTGTTTAGTAATTGGTTATATGTTGTTTAAGTTTTATTGGAGATTGAAATGTTTGAGGGACTAAATTTGTCATAATAACATTTCTACAGATACTTTTTAAGCCCGGAAAATAATAGTTTGATTTAAATAGCATTTTAAATGTGTTGTTTTTCTTAGTTTTACTGTTCTGCTGTGCTTTGGATTGAATAAATGCTTCTTTTAATAACAGTAAAACCACACTTTTGACTACTGGTAAGTGACTAGGCTAAATACAGTGTTGAATATAGTGATTGGCTTATAGCTTTTATTTAGGAGTAATTGAGATCATCAGATATTCTCTCCTATAAACCCTCTGTGCTCTTCCTTATATTAATTCTCATGTATTATTTAGGAAACAGTGGATGTGTGTTGAAGACAACGTCTAATGGTCTTGACTCCTGAGACGATCTTTGTGTGTGTGTGTGTGTGTGTGTGTGTGTGTGTGTGTGTGTGTGTATGCGTGCGTGACACTGAATAAAGTGCAAAACATTTGTTATTAAACTTATAGTTAATAGAATTAATATTATCCATCAACCCACCCATCCATCTTCCTGTCTGTCTGTCTGTCCTTCAACCCATCCATCTATCAACCCATTACTCCATCCGTCTGTCTTTTTGTCTGTCTGTTTGTCTATCTTTCCATCCATCCTGTCTGTCTGTCTATCTATCATTCATTCTTCAACCCATATATTTATCTGTTCATCCGTCAATCAACCCATCTATCTATCTATTTATCCCTCCATTCATTCATCTATCTATCAACCCACTCATCCATCTGTCTGTCTAATGTCTATCCTTAAACCTTTCCATCCATCCATTCTTCCTTTAACATATCCATTTTTCTCTCTATCCATCCATTAACCCACCATCCATCTGCCTGTCTGTCTGTCTGTTTGTCTATGCTTCAACCCTTCCATTTGTCCATCCATCCATATAAACCACCCATCCATCTGCCTGTCTGTCTATCTTTCTGTCTATCTATCCTTTAACCCATCCATCCATCTGTCTATCCATCAACCCACTATCCATCTGCTTGACTGTCTATGTTTCTATGCTTCAACCCTTCTATTCATCTATCAACCCATCCTGTCTGTCTATCTATCTATCTATTAACCCATCCATCTGTCTGTCTATCTATCTGTCCGTTCGTCCATCAACCCATCTATACATCAATTTATCCATTCATTCATCCACCTATCTATCAACCTACCCATCCCTCTGTCTGTCTGTCCTATCTATCCTTCAAGCCTTCTGTCCATCCATCCTTCAACCCATCCATCCTTCTATCCATCCATCCATCCATCCATCTATTAACCCACCCATTCATTTATCTATCTATCCCTCCATCCATCTATCTGTCTGTCTGTCCCCTCCGTCAACCCATCCATCTATTTATCTATTCATCTATCAACCCACCCATCCATCTGCCTGTCTGTTTGTCTATCCTTCAACCCTTCCATCCATCCATCCATTCATCCATCCATCCATCCATCCTTCAACCTATCAATTCGTCTGTCCCTTTGTCCATCCTTCAACCCATCCATCCATCCGTGTGTCTGTCTGTCTATCTATCTTTTAATCTTTCAACCCATCCATCCATCTGTAATTCTGTTTTTTTGTTTTATAACATTGTTATAACAGTCTATGTCTGCAGTTCACTGATTGGCCACTGATATCAGCGAAACTTAATAAACCCTTTTAATACGTTCCTGCGTTCTTCAGAAAGTTTGAGTTGTTTTGGCCTAATGAGTGTGTTTTGTGTTTCATGTATTGCAGAAGCCTCTTTCTGTCTTCATCTTGACATTCAATTGTTCATTTTTGCGGGGCGTGGCTTTAAGAAACATTCTAATGATGTCATTAACCATCTGACCCCACCCACATCTTCTTCTACTATGAGTGGCGTCTCGCTAACCAATGAGAGCTGGGGATTTGATAAAGAGGGTGGGGCTTTTGTTTTAACCGCCCCTCCTCCAGCTCCGCCCCCTCCCCCACCCCTGCCTGCTGTACACTCTGCAGAGCGGAAGAGGAGGGTGAAGAGTTTCTTCTGGAAACCCATCCCTGAGGATCGAGTTCGTCAGCAGGACAGAACCAATCTGTGGAGCCTCAGGCAGGACAGCAGAGAGCAGACGCTCCACATCGACATCACTGCCATCCAGGAGCTGTTCGGACACCCGCAGGAAACGCCGACGCTCAGACCAGCTCCTGTCAGAGACCGCAGACAGCAGGTCACACACACATACTAATGATTTTTCTTGGAAATAATATTTGTAAAGGAGCTGTTGACATGGAGTTCAAGCAGATTTTGGTAAAAACCCAAACAATACAAACATAAACATAAAAAAAAAAACAAATCTGAAGAATGAGTTGTGTAATGACAGATGACAGAAGGAGAAAGAGCTGAACTACTGAACTGTGTTTATATAAAGGCTGTTTTGGTGCTGCAGCTTAAAGACGCCTCTCATATGGAGAATAAGGCCTAATGCATTGCTCAGGTGTGAGTTTCTCTCAGACTTCAACAGAGTGTCGAAGGCCCCGTTTACACGAGTGCGTTTTAGTTTTAAAACGGCGTTTTAGATCAAAAACGATCTGCGTCCACACTAGCGTTTCATCTAGTGTCTCTGAACATATCTCCGTCCACACTACGCCACCAAAAACGTATATCACGTGACCATTCGACCACTCTGGGCATGCGCGTTCTAGTATAAACAGGAAGCATGCGTCTCGCTCGACATTTGGTTATTGTTAGTCAACAAACGCCGGTTGAACATTAAATGCGATGGCAAAGAAAGCAAGAGAGGTATTTTTGTGGACAGACGACGAGGTCGAGTTACTAAACGTAACAAATGAATAACTGCACAATGACGCCTAAAACAGACAATAGTGCAAACAACGCTCCCATTTCTGTGTCCATGTTGTTGTTTACAGTGAAAGCTGGTCTGCTGTCTTCCGGCAGCGTTAAAGCCATGTGTTATAGTCATGTGATAGGGGCTTGACGAATAAGGGAAGGACACACAATGATACAAACGGCCCAATCAGGTAGCGAATCTCAGCAGCCCCGCCTCCGTTTTTAGATGTCTCCG